GGGCTAACAATAACTACTAAAAGCGAAATCCGCTCTCTAAACCTTTTTTAATAAAAAATGAAAATTTTGAGTGATATCCTGGACTCGTTTCAGCAACAGTATTTACTGCCATTACAATATTCACGATCATTTGTTCTACTTTGGTGAACATGTTAGCGAATACGGTATTTCTGGATGTATTCCGGAAGCAGAACGGGAAAATTTTTTCCGAAATAAACTACTGAGTACGAGAAAACCGCCGAATGATACAACAATTTAACAACTTAACGATTTCGGCAAACTTTTTAGAAGTTTCCACTGAAATTTAATGGATTCAGGATTTTTGTCAGGAAATTTTTACTTCATAAGCGTGCCTAGTGCTGTGTGGAAGCATCCCAGCGATTGTTTTTTTTTTTTACAACGTATAAAGAAGCTAGGCGACGAAAATCAAAACAGTTTTGTCAGGAGCTGGATACGGCAAATCCGGATGTTGATGGTTTGCCGAGTAATAAGGGATATTGTAAGGAGGCTCATTCCCCTCAGATCTTCTTCCCTCACTTTTTGAGGGATTTCTTCGTTGAGGATTTTGTAGTGAACTTTTAGCGCATCAGTGAATTTTAATGCATAATTAAAACTGAAGACAACAACAATGGAAACAGTGGTGTTTATATCAAATGGCAGTATGTCGAGTAGTTGCACTATAAAGAGGGGCCAGTTCGCGTACCATCGGAGAATTGAACTGATTGGGTGGTGGCTTCCTGGCATAATGCAACAGATGATACGTTGATGCCAGCGCCAGAACAAACGAGAACAGCAGGACTGCTGATGCGCCCAGTGATAGAAAGAATGCGGAACCGATTTCTTGCTGCAAAATAACTCCCTAGCTTTTATTCTTTTTTTTTCGAAATTTCTGACTTGCTTTCAAAATTTCCTCGAAATTTCTGGCTCATTTTTAAGAAATTTTCTAAAAATTTTCTTGCATAATGAAAGATAGTGACTTACTATCTTTCATTATGCAAGAATCTACATTTTTCTAACGTCATTTTCTACAAATTCGAGAAATTCTGATAAAAGATTCAAAAACAGCGAAAGAGCTCCAGGCTTCTTCCTGTATTCAAAAAACAGAATTTGCGTGGTTGTATAGGAATTTACTAAAGATGTTCTGTTCAGGTCAAAAAAAACCACGGGAGACCTTGACCTCTACAATCTTGCTTATTTTATGTTTTCCTTCTAAAAAAAAATTTTCATTAACTGACCTCATATGTGCCAACAAGTCCTTGTACAAATCTGCTGTCGACACGGTGCGCCGCAAAAAAGAATATTCCATTTGCTACGATTGAGAAAAATACTGCAATAATGTTTTATTAATGAAAATGCAATACGATTTGTTGTTCTAGTGAGTGCTAGCTTGAGATACACAACCCAGGATCGAACGGATCGCATAGTAGCGTCTAAGAGCATCCCAGTAACATAAATAGTACGGAATTCCCAAATAATGATTGCTCCATTACCTAGCAATTTTGGTACAAAAATATGTGATTTGGATAAGAAGACCAAGATGATGGCCAAAGTATTGCACGTATTCGATGAACAAACTATTCTTTTAGTCTATGTTTCATCCCTTTGCTGTAAGCACAGACGAAGAAGCACGTGTGGAATGTTGAATACCTCTAATTCTAATTAATCGAACAATTAAGGTAGCTTCAAAGAATACACGATACGTGGGATTTCGCGAGCTACAGAGGCTAATTTTAAAGTTTTTCAACGAACAGCATTTAGTACTTGATTTTACAATCTTGGGCTTGAGTTCTTAGGCATTCTGTCATGGCGAATTACGAAGTGTTGTCAAAAATGATGTGCTAGATGGGTTGCAAAATAAGGTTCCTTAGGTTTGCATGCATGTAAAGTTTCAAACATTTAGGAATTATTCCTGTTAAGATTGAAGGCCAAAAACTGGGACTCGATTGATATCCTGATCGTAAAATCGTTTTGTACGGAAAGCAAATTTCTAAAAAACTGGAAAAAGAACTCGTTGTGTGAAAAGTTCTTCGCTAGGGCTTTTATAATATTGACACATAAGCCCATTCCCCAAATCGTGGTACTTACATGCAAATCCTCTCCTTGCTGGAAAGCAGATTCGAGGGGTTTCTCAACTTCTGCCTTCTTAAAACAAAAAGTCCTGGTGATCTTAACGATTAGAATTGGACAATCGCAAAGATGCCTATTTCTGGATAAGAAAGGCTAAGTATTGATAAAAGAACGAACATGCGACGAAGATAAGCACAGTGAAGAGAACGGCGATTGAGTTACTGCACGGAGCACAGCTTCCACAGAGCAAAGCCAATCCACAGCTTGCAAATAAAACACCAAAACATATCAGCACAGCTTTTTGCCAGCCTACAATAGCAAATTAAGCTCTGGATGACTTAATGAAATTTAGTGGCACAACCGAAACACTTCTTATCATTACAATAATCTCACAAGTTCCGCATGCAGGGAAAAGACATCGGCTGGGATGAAGATGTTGCATTATGTGGCCGCATGGATCTCCAGCGTGCATGATTATCAGCTTTTTGCATGTAGCCTGGTCGTTTTTCGGGTGAATGCTCGTTCATTGAAAGAAAATGCAAATTTAAAAGGAATCGGAAGAGGATTATGAAATCTGCAAAATGCACTTGCTTTTGAGTTTACGGTAAAACTGAATATTTGTCATGCTTGTGTGCGGGAATTTTATCTTCAAATTGAATTAAAACCCTACAATAAACATGAATCAGGATAATACCAAAAAATTGATGGTGTTCGGCTTCGGTAGCAGCGCTATTCTGGTCCACGTCCTGCAAATTCTGGCCAATAATCTCACGTGCATCGGCGTCGAATTTGTAGGTGCACGAAAGTGCCGTGTGCAGCATTTCATTGTATTCCTCGATGGTTTGCGTATGCGCATGACGATATGGACGTGTACAATCTTGCCAAAGTCCATGCTGCAAAATGCACTGTTGTCGCCTGTGCTGTACAAAGCATTGATGATCCGCCAAAAGACAACGATTACGTAAACGCACGTACGTGATGTTGCGCTCGAAATTCACGTATGTCGACTACTTGCCACGATGGTGATAGCACAGCAGCTATGGACAGACCCAGAGCAATTAGCAGAAGTACCAGTGAAGCAACGAGTACCACTTTTTGGGCCCCGTGCTGACCATGTCCCATTCCTGGAACGGTAAAAAAAAATCAGACGGAATAAAAACAACAGAAGTAAATCAGAACAGCACTAAAATACCTTTATGTATAAGTTGTTACAACAAAAGTACTGTTGCTTAAGCACTCCGCCACTGTGCTAACAGTGAAGTTATAAAATCGAAAAGTTGCAGCTCAGGGCTATTTCTGAATTTTTCCAGTTCTAAAGGGGATGTGAGTTTTTTTTTTCAGGTGCGGTACCACAAAACATAAAAAAGAAGCGCTAGAAAATATAAAAAATTTTTGGATCACGGTCCTCAGTAAAAGACGCCTCGGTTTTTGTGGTAAGTTATGGCTAACAATTTTTGAGCATTTTTGTGCTTTTCACTTTTGCCGCTCAATGAGTTTATGCTATTTGGAAAGTTGAGGAAAGTTCTATAAAGGGAATCAAATTCTGGAAAAAGATGTCTTATGGAGGTAGTTTAGGCTTAGCTTGGCAATACTTCTCGTACAAAATATGATTCATTCACAGATTACGCTTGGTACATAAGCGTTGCCCAGGCAACAGAGTGGGCAAACAGGACTCACTGCGGGCATGGCCCTGGATCCGGTCTTGGGATTAATGAACCTTTTTTTATAGATTTTTGCAACATGATTTTTAACTGATCCAAAAAGCCTTCAAAAAATGTTGTAATTTTAAAAAGTGCAACGCTTTTCTTCAAATTTTTGAATTTATTTTCA